TCTCTCTCTCTCTCTCTCTCTCTCTCTCTCTCTCTCTCTCTCTCTTTCAGATTTCAGTGAAAAGAAAGATCACCTTTGCATTTTGGGGGTCATGTAATATCTAATCCCAATCCTTCAAGAGAAATACAATCCAAATTTCTTATCTTCATCATAGTGGAAAACAAAACATAAAACAATGCTCTGGGTAAAAATTACTTTTTCTGAAATAAGTAAAATTGTTATTGTTTAATTCCATTAGACATAGCTGTCAGCAATCAATTAATAAACATCTATTAATTACCTAATATGTGTCAGGCACTAAGCTAGCCATTGAGAATACAAAGAAAAACATAAAACAGCACCTAGCCTCAAAGAGCTTACATGTATATGCATATATACTATGACATATCTGACATATTTGTACAAAGACAGGTAGCTGGATGGCATAGTGAATGGAGTGCTGGACTTGGAGTCAGGAAGATGAGTTTAAATCATGCCTCAGATTTGGGTTACATGTGTGACCCTGGGCAAGTCATCTAACCTCTCTCAGCCTCAGTTTCCTCATCTGAAAAATGGGGATAATAGTACCAATTTCCTGGAGTTGTCAGGAGAAGATGAGATAATATATGTAAAATGTTTTTAAAACCTTAAAGTGCCATATAAATACCAGCTATTGTATGTATTTCTATATGTAAGGGGCAGCTAGGTGGCACATTGGATAGAGCTCTGGCCTTGGAGTCAGGAGGACTTGCGTTAAAATCTGGCCTCAGACATTTGACACAGACACTAGCTGTGTGACCCTGGGCAAGTCACTTAACCCCAATTGCCTCACCAAAAAAAAAAAAAAAGAACCACTCTAGTATTTTTGCCAAGAAAACTCCACAGACAGTATTAATGTGATATGGTCCACAGGATCACGAAGAATTGGACATGACTCAATGATTGAACAATGATATCTAGCCATCTATCTATTTGTCCATTCATTCATCCATCCATCCACCCATCTATCTAATATGTAATAGATATAAGGTAATGGGTGGATGGTACTATACAGCAGAAGAAAAAGTTTCATAGTTAAATGCTTATATGATTGTTATTCCACTCTAGAAAAATCTAGATAATAGAATCCTAATTATCAATTCTTAAATAGGAATAATCTAGTTTTTTAGCCAGTGATGTTCAGTTTTTTGGACATTCCATTGATTACTGAACTACTGTCTTGTTGAAATTATACTTTCTCAATGAAAATAATTGAAGAAATGTATGACCAAAAATGGAGATGTAACAAGAATAAGGAATAAGTGCTGAACACTCTAAGTTATATACAGATACCTATGAAATATAAAGATAATTGGAATACCTCTAGCCTAATTTGTTGAATTGCTTTGCTAAACACACACACCCACACCCTATCATTGAAGAAGCATGAAGAACTGCATCCAAGAAGAAGGTGTGGATGGGTTGTAATTTGTCCAGATGGAGGGAATATACACAGAAATGAAATCACAGGTCTACAGGAGCTTTGGAGGACTGGACTATTATCACTACTTGGGAAAATGACTGCAAGTGTATGTAGCTGCTTCAGTATAGTACTTAGGGGTATCTTTTCATACATCACATAAATCTCAAAAATTAAGGGTTCAAATTTTCATATGGTACACAGTAAATCCTTAAAAAAAAAAGAAATAACCATCTATAGAAATTGTGAATTTAGCAGTTACTTAGGTGTGAGGAATGGTAGTTTAATTAAGCAAATCCACATTTTAGAGACAAAGTAGCCCAGAAATGATCTTGCAGGTAATTTTGATTCCTGGGTCTTTCATCCTAGCTAATGATGCTCTAATGTTTGATTTTACTAGAAGTCACTTCATTGCTTCTGTTTCCAACAACTAACTATGAATACAATCAATTATTTAGGAAGCAATAAAATCATTAGTGCAACCATGTAATGTAATTTAAACGTAGAAGAAGTAAAATCAGTCTTCTGATCCCTCCAGTTTCTAAATTTCAATAGCCTCTAGCATCATCTTCACAAGGTATCAAATAAAGAAGTGCCAAGCACCTGAAGCTTGTGTTTTCAATGTCAGGAACACAATTTTAAAGCATTTTCATTTCAATTTGAAGCAGGAACACTGCAATTTTGACCAGAGGATGACATTCGGGTCTGAGAAAGCCAAGCCAGGTTTTAGATACAGCAGTTATCGACTCTGCATTTGATATGGTACCCCCCACCCCATCAAGCATTAATTTATTATAAATTCATGTCGCATCAGCAGCATCTGTGAAACAATTACTCCATCTAGGACTGGCTCTGCAGTCTAATCCATCATAATTATGACTGGCCTCTTTGAAGATGCTATGATGCATGACTTAAAAATAGCACATTACTGTGCAAATGGGTTGGCATCTCATTCCACCAATGTGCATTTAGGGTTGTAATTCAACTCAACACCATTTGACTTCTTAGGAATCAAGAAGGAATGTAGATGCATCTCTTGCCACATAAAACTGTAGATGGTACTCAGCAATTATGTAAAGGGATTTTTGAGGGGGAGGGGAGAGGTGTTCTGTTCTGAGAAATAACTGACATCCTGTAAACATATTCCTTACAGGCTCATGTCATTCCTTTTGCTGTGGGGAGTGTCTGTTCATAGTCATGATGATAGGACACCAAATCTTCCTCCTCCCCCTTCTTCTACAATTCAGTTCAATTCGATTCAACAAGCATTTATTAAATGCCTAATATGTGTCAGGCATTGAGAGCTTTGGTAGTTTGATTTAAAAAAAAAAAAAGGACAAAAACTTCTAGGACCACCAACTCCCAAAGCCCTGAGCCAAATGGAAACATTACTCATTAATTGAGTTTATCTATGGAACCATTTAACACCAATTACTTGATGTGAATGGTTCCTTTGTAGGTAATGTGTTTCTCAATAGCAGCCTTGAGGTACCGTTCTGGATAACAATTCTAGCTCAAATCTTCCATTTGGTATCCATCAAATTCCCACTCTCAGGAGTTTCACTTTCTACTTTAAACCTTGTGACTGTTAAGTAGTTGCCATGTTCAATCCCAGTGTTGGTTGAAGTGATTGGATATCAGTAGACTTGTGAAACTTAAAAAAAAAAACCCTATAACAAAGCAACTTTAAGGTAGCAAACTAAAATCATAAAGAATCAAAACCTCTCAGGTTCTTGTAGGAAAACTAGCCTACCCAAGCTACATGAAGATTGCAATTTGGATTCCATATTTAATAGTTAACATATGTCCTAAGCAGAGAGAATGTGGGCTAAGTCATATTATTATAGTAATCTTGACTTTTTGAACTTCTCATCCTGTAAGAGAATTTTAGACCAAGATTTTGGAATTTTTTTCAGGTCCCTAACGAAGGGAACAGCTAACCCTTTTCTGTCAAAGAGAACTGAGAAAATCCACTTTCTCCTAGATTCCAGCCATCTGCACATACTAAGCAGATACATTTATAAGGTTACTTATAAACAACATATTTTTCCTCTGGGGCATGAACAGAAGGATCTCTCTTAGGATTATTAAATTTCTGGGTTTACAGCTTTAAACTGGGTCTCCTTATCTTAGGCATAGAGACTGGACCTGGGATTTCAGTGAAATTGGAAACTTATCAGTGAGGAACCCTCACCCAACCCTTTTAGTGCAAGTTATTACCTTATCTTCAGAAACTTATAGTCTTAAAGAGTTGTCTAAAATATAAATGGGTGACATGACTTGCCCAGAGTCATACAACTAGAATGTGTCAGAAATGGGAATTTGGTTTCAAATCTAGCTCTCTATCCACTATACTACATGTTGTCTCTCTCTTCTTGGGTGAAAAAAAGATTAAAAATAGAGTTTAATACCTTATAGATTATTTGGGCAGGAATGATGAGAAATCCGGTACACAAAGGGATGAATTTAGAATTTAGACATGTAGGGAAATATGGAAATAGACCTTAGGTTCTGATTCACAATGTGAATCAATGAAAAGTCAATTAATGTCAATTTTCCCACTTTGGTCAGTTCTCAATTATAGATCTGTCTATTAAATCTGGGCTACTTTTCTGATTAATAGCTTA